GACTGAGGCACTTTTTATACCTTTTTTCGTATCGCGCTATATATCCCTGAACATCCCCGGCCAGAAATATACATGTGCTATTCTAGTTACCGTTTTTGCGATGCCCAAATGTCCGGCTGTTGCGTTGTCGTGATTGTTACGCATGACTTCGACACAATCATCTTTCGCTACGTACAATTTCCATTGCCCTTCTGCCGGTGTTTCGGTGAAACTTAAGTCGTGCAATACTTCACCTTCATATCATATTGTTGGAGCTCGAAGACCCAACGTCCCAATCTCCCCGTAGGTGACTCCAGTTTCTGGAGCCATCGTAGCGACTAATGGTCGGTTATTACTGTAAAGGCGTACCTCTCTAGGTAGTCGCGCATTCGTCTTATGCCCCATACCACCGCGAGACATTCGAACTCGGTGGCACTATAGTTTTGTTCTGACTCGCTTAATGTTCGGCTCGCGTACGCAATAACCCGTTCTCCCTCCGGGAAGTTTTGTGTAAGAATGGCCCCAAGGCCCGTTTGACTTGCATCCGTCTGTGATATAAACCGTCTGGAGAAATCCGGACATGCGAGGACCGGTGCGGTTGTGAGCGTGCTCTTTAATTGTTTGAACACGTTTTCTTCGGCCGATCCCCATTTCCATCGTGCATTTTTCCGGGTTAACAGCGTTAGTGGTGCGAACAACGTTGCAAAGTTCTGGATGAATCGTCGATATCACGATGCCATACTAAGAAATTGCTTAACCTGCTTGACTGTCTTTAGGGCTGGCCATTTCGTGATTGCCCCTATCTTTTCCGGGTTCGTTCTTATCTCGTCGCGATCTACAATGTGGCCTAAGTATTTCAGACTGTCCACACAGAAACGACATTTGTCCGGGTTAATGCGCAACCGCGCATCTCGCAAGCGTCGAAATTCCTCTCGTAATGTTGCGAGATGTTCCTTGAATGTGGCGTTCAATATAATTATGTCGTCTAGATATACAAACACGTTAGGCTCCAGTTCCGATCCCAAAACGGAATCGAGTAATCACTGAAACGTCGTGGGCGTGGAGTGTAACCCAAACGTCATGACTTTGAATTGAAATAGTCCCTTACCGGGCACGGTGAACGCGGTGATCGGCCGGCTATCCGGAGTGAGTGGTCCCTGCCAATACCCGTTCTTTAAATTGAGCGTGATCAGGTACTTCGCGCCTTGTAACTTGTCCAATGTCACGGTAATCTGGGGCATCGGGTATGCATCGGTTTCGGTGACTTCGTTAACCCTGCGGAAGTCAATGCAAAACCGGTGGCCTCCGTCCTTTTTTCTTACTACTACTATCGGTGAGCTCCACGCTCTGCGCGACTTTTTTATCATCCCGTCCCTTATCATCTCCTCTACTTCGGCATCGATCACGGTTTAAATGACGGGGTTTCGTGGACAATATCTTTGCTTTATCGGCATCACTCCCGGTTTTACGCGTATATTATGCTGAGTGTGTCGCGTCGGCCCTACTACTGTCTCAAACAATGGTAACTCATTCTGCAAGAATTCCCGTAGTTTTCCTTCCTCTCCTTTGGATCGTCTTACTATTCCCTCCATTACGGCCAAACGTATGATAACCGGGGCGGCGGTGATATGTGCGGCAGATAGACTTAAGCCAAAACGCGCCCATAAGTCAATCCTTATTAGCACGGCACTGCCCAACGTTGGTAGTATGCAAAACGTATGCCAAATGCGACGCCCCACTATGCGTACTGGAAATCGTACGCTCCCCGGCAACTCGACGCGTTTCCCGTCCACCAGCTGAACTGTGCTGTGCTCGTCCCACCCCAGGAAACCGAGCCCCTGAATATCCTGCGCGGTTTCCTTATTAACGAAGGATATCTCTGCTCCGGTATTGATTAATGCATTCACCTGCAGCGCGCGTATTTTAATCGAGACATGCGGCCTAGGTCGATATTCTATTCTGAGGACCGGGCGGCGGCAGTAGTGTCGCCGGTCCGATCATTGTTTCCCGTTCGCGGATGACAATCGCGAGTCAGAACCCCGTACCTTCCACACTGTGAGCAAAATTTCCGCGGCAGTCGACGGTACTCGAATTGTGTATGCCTTTGCTGCTTACATCGCCAGCAGCACTCCGCTCTGTTATACGCGGTTGCGACTATCTGATTCTCGCGCGCCAATGTTCTTTCGAGGCCTAACAACTTCTTGCGATTTTGTATTCGCTCTAACTCGGCCGCCTGAATTAACAAATCGTTCGCAGTGTGTACGTCGTGTCGTCTAATATGCCTGATCATCGGGCTGGAGGTTTTCGTATAACTGCTCTAATCGTTCGACTGCTGTGAATCCCCCTGCACGCCGCATCAGTGCCAACAGCGATGTTGCGTACTTTAAATACGTTTCCCCTGGTTTTTGTGTTTTCTCTCTAATTTCATTTAGCAATTGCGTACGATACCAGTGCGGCAGAAACGTGGCCCTGAAATCGCGTATAAAGTCCTCCCACACTTTCCAGTCCTCCCGGACGTTCCGATACCACGTGACTGCATCGCCTCTTAATAACTCCGTGAGTTCGAGCAACATATACAGGGTGGACCATTTTAATCCATCCAGTCGAATATCTCGAAAATCAAGCCCGGGAGAGAAAAATTTTTCAGACAAAAGTTGTTTGGTTTCGAAGAGACCATAAGATGGTACCATTGGTTTGACCTTGAAGAATTA